GAGTCCGAACGTCCTTGCCTTTAAGGTATTTATAGTAGCAAATGTGTGTATGCACACACATATGCACAAATATCCCGGAAATTTTCAAAGGTTAGAATTTGAGAATCTGAACTAGATTGCTGGGGGTAAAAATAGGTATCCAGTGTCAAGAAAGGAGGAAAGGATCAGAGAGAAGGAAAGGAAGTAGCATTTATTGAATAACTGTGCAGTGGAGTAAATATTATTTTACTTGGGTTGACTCTTTCAATCCTCGCCCCAACCCTACATAGTCAGTAATATTTTAGTGATGAGAAGCTTATATCTGAACAAAAGGTCAGATTTCAAAACTCTACCTTTTTCCAAATATGACACATTAACTTACCAGACCATGAGCTGTTAATTTCCTCTCATTTAAATGTTGTCCTTTTGATTTTGGAAATTCCCCAGTATTTGGTATACGTGCGTGTGCACATGTGCACATATGTTATGTACTGTATTTAATATTATACTATAAAACATCCTGAAGATAAGGGTATCCTTGCTCCTTTATTGTACCTGTTACAGCTTCAGCACCAACTGGTGGAGGCAATCTCTAAGTGACATAAAAGAAAGATTTTAATCAATTAACCAATTAGAATTGATTATCATCTCCATTTAAGTGGTTAAAATTAACTGTCCACATCACTGCATGTGTTATAATCTGTCTGCATTACTACAAAGGAATCCCCGTGACTATAATTTATAATAAAAAGAGGTTGAATTGGCCCATGGTTCTTCAAGATATAGAGAAAGCATGGGGCCAGCACCTGCTTCTAGTGAGGACATCAGGAAGCTTACAAAGCTTTGCAGAAGGCAAAGGAAGAGCAGGCTTGTCACATGGTGTGAGAGGGAGCAAGACGACAGCAGGAAGGTGCCACACAGTTTTAAACAACCAGATATCACATAAACTCACTCATCAGCAGGAAGATGGTGCTAGACCATTCGTACCAGATCCACCCCTATGATCCAAACACCTTCCGCCAGGTCCCACCTCCAACACTTGGGATTACATTTCAACATGAGATTTGGAGGGGACAAACATTCACACCCTAATACTGCATTTTAGGAAAAGCCTGACTAAACAATAAACAAAAACTATGGAAACCCTCTATATATAATTGTTTAAAAGTTTAACAATAATATAACACTGTGTTCTAATTTCTTCTTCAATTACCAAATAATGGATAAATGGCGGAGTCAGGAGTCTATGCTAGGAGGATGTTCCAAAGACAATTCCCTAAGAATCTGGATTACAGACTTCAGGGGAAATTTCTAAGCCATTCAATACCAGTATGAATATAAAAATGGAACAGTTTCCTCATCAAAAGGTTAGTCTAGAATATTCCATTTCAAGTGAAATAAAGCAGAATTTAAGATCAGGAAGTTAGTCTTGTGATATAATTACTCTGATTTAAGGTTTACCACTGCTTAAAAATCAGAACAGGGAAAAAGAAGGAAATGGGAAATCAAGGAAAGCTAGAATCCCAGGCAACAGGAAGTCTGAAAGCAGGACTTGACTCACATTCTAAGAAATGTGCTAAGAACTCAGCTTCCGAGAAATGGGAAGTAGGGGCCTCCTATGGCCCACGTCTCTGACAGCCTTGAGTAATATGCAAAAGGTTGCCCACTGAAGACCTCATACATGTGAAAACAATTACGATCCCTTCCTGGTCCCCAAATAATTAGCATATATTTTCTCCTAGTAGAGTTCATTATTTTATTCCTTTAGATTTCAAATAATTTATCTTGAGATCAGACACCGAGCTCAATACAGGAAAATAATGTTAATGAACAAGAAGAGTAACAGCCCAATAGAGAGAAAAAATAGGCTAAGGATACGATTAAACAGCACACAGGTAGGGCAACCAAAAGCTAATAAACGAACAGAATCATTAGTAATCAGAGAAATAAAATTAAAACGATACCACTTTAGGCCAGACACACTGGCAAACTTTTACTACATTGGTGCACCAACCTATAAAAAGCCGAACATTTCCAAGATTGAGGTAGGATAAGGGTCTCATGGCCAGGGTATAAAGAAAGATGAAACTGCCTTTATCTGAAATGGGGAAGGATACAAGTAGAGTAGGTTTGTGAGAAAAAATCCAGAGTTCTGGTTTTGAGGTTATGTTAATTTTGAGGTGCCTGTTCCTCATGGAAGTGTCTGACCAATTACACACGTCTGATGTTTGAGCGAGGGATCAGGCATAAATTTGACTATTAGCAATATGTAAATGGTACCTAAATCCGTGAGACTGGATGAGATCACTAAGGGCATAAGTGTGTATAGAAAAGAGAGTAAGATCAAAGACTGAGTCCTAGAGTGCTCCAACGTTAATATTGGGAATAAAAGGAACTAAGAAGGAGGATTCAATGAGTCTAGAGGAGATAAGAGGAGTGTAGTGTCAGTGGAAACAGAGACACTAGCCATGTCAAATGCCTCTAAAATTCCAGCAATATGAACTAAGAACAGATCACTGGAAACAGTAACAGAGAGGCTGATATAAGAAACTCAGTGAAGGGCTGGGCGCTGTGGCTCACGCCTGTAACCCCAGCACTTTGGGAGGCAGAGGTGGGTGGATCACGAGGTCAAGAGATCGAGACCATCCTGGTCAACAAGGTGAAACCCCGTCTCTACTAAAAATACAAAAATTAGCTGGGCCTTGTGGTGCGCGCCTGTAGTCCCAGCTACTCAGGAGGCTGAGGCAGCAGAATTGCTTGAACCCAGAAGGCAAAGTTGCGGTGAGCTGAGATCACCGCATTGCACTCCAGTCTGGGTAACAACAGCGAAACTCCGTCTCAAAAAAAGAAATTCAGTGGAGAGGAACTAAATGGCTGGAAAATAGAAGTAGATGGAAGACACTTTACCGGATAATCTTTGATACCTTTTGCATTTCATCCATGTGAATGTATTATCCATTTCGATAAAAAAACAAATAAATAGATTTTTTTAAATCAAAGAATAAAGTTCAACAGATTAGGTACAACTGAAATACAACATAGTAAAACAAGATATATTTTTAAATGTACTCACTGCCACACAGAAAATGGGAAATACTAAAGAGAGATTAAGATACATGGTATACAGCAAAAGAAACAATCATTAGAGTGAATCGGCAACCAACAGAATGGGAAAAAATTGTTGCAGTCTTCCCATCTGACAAAGGGCTGATATCCAGAATCTACAAAGAACTAAAACAGATTTACAAGAAAAAAACAAACAAGCCTATTCAAAAGTGGGAGAAGGATATGAAGAGACACTTTACAAAAGAAGACTTACATGAGGCCAACAAACATATGAAAAAATGCTCATCATCACTGGTCATTAGAGAGATGCAAATCAAAACCACATTGAGATACCATCTCACACCAGTTAGAACGGCGATCATTAAAAAATCTGGAGACAACAGATGCTGGAGAGGATGTGGAGAAAAAGGAACACTTTTACACTGTTGGTGGGAGTGTAAATTAGTTCAACCATTGTGGAAGACAGTGTAGTGATTCCTCAAGAACCTAGAAATAGAAATTCCATTTGACCCAGCAATCCCATTACTGGGTATATATCCAAAGGACTATAAATCGTTCTACTATAAGGACACATGCACACGAATGTTCATTGCAGCACAGTTTACAATAGCAAAGACCTGGAACGAACCCAAATGCCCATCAATGATAGACTGGACTGGAAAAATGTAGTACATATACACCATGGAATATTATGCAGCCATCAAAAACGATGAGTTCGTGTCCTTTGTAGGGACATGGATGAACCTAGAAACCATCATTCTCAGCAAACTGACACAAGAACAGAAAATCAAACACCGCATGTTCTCACTCATAGGCGGGTGTTGAACAATGAGAACACATGGACACAGGGAGGGGAGCATCACACACTGGGGTCTGTCAGGGGGAAATAGGGGAGGGACAGCAGGGGGTGGGGAGTTGGGAAGAGACAGCATGGGGAGAAATGTCAGATATAGGTGATGGGGAGGAAGGCAGCAAATCACACTGCCATGTGTGTACCTATGCAACAATCTTGAATGTTCTTCACATGTATCCCAAAACCTAAAATGCAATAAAAAATAAAATATAAAAGAAAAGATACATGGTATATTAGTCTGTTCTCATGCTGCTAATAAAGCCATACCTGAGAGTGGGTAATTATAAAGGAAAGAGGTCTAATTGACTCAGTTCCACATGGCTGGGGAGGCCTCACAATCATGGTGGAAGGCAAATGGGGAGCAACGTCACATCTTACAGGGCAGCAGGAAAGAGAGCTTGTGCATAGGAGCTCCCCTTTATAAAACCATCAGCTATCAAGAGACTTATTCACCACCAGGATAACATTACGGGTCCCCATCCTTAACATGTGGAGATTATTACAGTTCAAGGTGAGATTTACGTAGGAACACAGCCACATGATATCATATGGATACTACATAAAAAGGCATATCCCGTATCTAATCAGTTTCCCAAAAAGAACAAAAATAATAATGAGGCAATATTTTAAAATACAAATTTTTATCTATTTTAGTCAATAGACAAAATGAATCTACAGGCACTGAAAACCCAAGATATTTCAGGCAGGAAAAATAAAAACAAATCCATGTCTACGTATATCACAATAAAGTTGAAAAACAACAAAGACGAAGTGAAGGCTGTTAAAGAGGCCAGAGAGAAAGGGCGGGTCGCCTAAAAAGGCTGAAAATAAGATTGACAATAGACCACTCAAAGAAGAAGAGAATCCCGAAGACAGTGGATAATATCCTCAATGAATTGAGATAAAATAATTGCCAATGTAAAATTTTTTAACCAGCAGAATCATGTTCACAAACAATAAAGTAAAATCCTTTACAAATATAAACAAAAACAGAGTTTACCATGAAAAATCTATTATTCTTTATTAAAGAGGAAATAATGAATTACTTCCGATAATGGAAAACGATCCCAGAAGATAATCAATACGAGAAAAGGGGATCAAAGAGAAATGCAACTAAGGTTCTAAAGCTTTTCCCTAATTAGGAGATTCCCACATTCATCTCCCAAGCAAGAGATCCTCAGTTTAAAATCAGAGAGTGGGGAAAGCTCTTATCCTTGGCCCTAAATGACTTCATAGTAGTTGACAGTTCAGTTCCGGAGACTCAGTGGCAACATAGGTTGGCACATTTAATAATGAAATGTTGGTTGGTCAAATCCAACCTGTAATTAGCTACTAATAGGTTGTGCTGGTCTCTTCCTGATGCTACTTATTGCTTTCTATTAAAATAACTCCGTTGATTTATGTTCTCAACTGGCTCAAATAGTATGTTTTTCACCTAGTGATGACATCTCCCAATTCCTGCACCAATCCAGGGCAGGAAGTCACTGTTAGTGACTTAGTCAACTTAGTTGAGAAGTCACTGTTGTGGCCACTGAAGCTGGGGCTGAATCTTGGCATTTCTGAGTCTTCCTTTGTTAAAAGCAAAGTCTTAAGTTTTTTCCTACAATACTTCTCAGCTAAGTAGGTCTTTAATCCTGGGCATCATTCGAGTCAAAAAACAACCCTCACTTCTCTCTTTGTCCAGTCACTCCCTAGGTGAGTTCTCCACTCTTAGAGAATCTTGCAGGTGAAATGTTCGCTTGAGCCTGAGGTATAGCTTATTTTTACTAGGGTTTTGATCAATTGGATTGGCATTTGGAAAGAGAGATTCTACAGTCCTGTTTAAAGCCATTAACTTTACACCAGAATTAAAATACATTTCTAAAGGGAAGGAAAAAACAATTGCCTAATGTTTAGATAATGGAGTAGCTTGGTGCACTGAAGACTGTATTTAAGGAAATCCCGTAGAGGGCAGGATAAAGAGGTAAGTAAATGAAAAATGAGAAGTTAGCCAACACAGAGGACAGAATAAGAAGCTCCAATACACGGTATAGAAGTAGATTCATATGTGCTATAAGAAGACAAATTATTCAAAAAATGGCTGAAATGTTCCAATATTGAAGAAAAACAAGCAGATCTGTCACTGAAGGAGCACCACTATCACTGCGCTGGCCTCAGAGCACACCTGCATTCTTGCACTTGCCACACCATGTGGTGAGTACTGGTTTTCTTGTCTGTCTCTTCACTCAGAATTAAGCCAATTAAGAGCAAGAAATCGGTCCTATTCACATTTGTATTACTAGCATCCATGCAGAGATTTGCAGAGCTTAATGAACATGTGTTGCTTATGAGAATAGAAAATAGAAGATATTTATTAAGAAAATAATTACTACACATTGTTGAATAAAGGAGGCATGCACTGTGGAGTGTGACCATTTTTCCTGCAGATGTTTGTATGACATCAGCCTTTCCCATCCATAGGATGCTGCAGCTGGGACTGGGGAGAGGAAGAGAGCTCCATTCTGAGGAGGGGAGTTCGCTCAAGGGATCTGATTCCTGAGACCTGCTCTGTAGCTTTATTTATTCTTCCTATCCTAAGTAGGAATCTGGTTGTGTGTAAAACAGAGAACTGACATCAACCTGAAGCACATGGAACCAGAACGAAGGCCTGAATGATATACAAATTGACAGGTGATAAGTGACCAAAAAAACTTTTAATAGCAACAAAAAAAATCATGAGCCATTGAACCTCAGTGGAATGAAAATTTGGCCCGTCTTCCCCCTAGCTTCCCCACCAAAAAAAATGCCTTAGAACAGGAGAGGTCAGCAAAACTTCGATTTTGTGAAAATGTCTAATCTGTGGACTATTCCACCAAATATCTATATCGTGATGAAAAGAGATAACACTTGGGATTCACAGAGGTTTTTCATTTCTGCAAACTCTGTACAAAATCTGAGTAAATAGTCCTGACAGTGCTGCTCAGAGAGACGCTGGTTAGAGCCAGCAACAGTGTGGGTTTCCTAACACACATGCCTATTGCGTAAGATCCGTGTCCATCCATTTCTCTCCTCTACAAATTTCCCATCATCCACAGCTTAAACTCTCATGGCAGATTTTAGGCAAAGGCTTGTCTTCAGCTTGGCCCTCTGCATTTCCTTCAGGAGTATGTCTCCCCTCGGAGTGAGCTGACGTTCAAATGTACCCCAGGATTCCAGTCTGAAAATGAAGATGTGACAAGCCCAGTGTTTTCCTCATGTAAGGAGCCCAGCCCTTCCTTCATGTTTGTAGACTGGTGCTATAAGGACCTGCCTTCAAGCTCTTTCCCACAGAATGAGAAGAAAAGAAAAAAACAAATATGAGAAGAGGCAATGCCGCCACTCCAAAGGACAGAGAAAGGAATCTCCTCAAAAGAAGTGAAATACTACTCTCCTTCCTTTAGTCTACCAATCTTTCTTTATGAAAAAAATCTAGACTCGAATGAAGTTGCCTTATTTGTGAAAGACTACACTGTCTCTCCATGTTTAGATACATAAGTCAAATCTTACACCGGAGCCACTGATGTGAAGGAGGATAAACAGACTGCCATTGATAACCCAGTGGTGGTTTCCTACTTCTACTGTGCTCTGGGTCTGACAGCAATTGAGCCTGGATCGAGCCACCTTCCAAACCCAAGTCTGTGGACTTGCTGAAGAATGGGCTGGGATGATTTCCCCACCTGAGATTCATGTTGTCCAATTCCGGATAAATTAGTTGGGTATTTGGCATCAGTTAAATGAAGTGTCCCCCAAAACTATCTTAAAACACCTTTATAAAACATCTAAGAAAAGATGGTCACATATATGATAATGTGCAAAGATATCAGGAACAATCTGAAAAATTATAGAAGCTCCATAAAACTATGGCAATCATAATCAAATGGTCATAATTATTCCTGAAATCCTGTGAGTGATTTGAAGTTAAACAAATGTAAAGCTAATAAAATAAAAACAGAGCCAAGACTATTTATTTATTTATTTTTTGAGACGGAGTTTCGCTCTTGTTACCCAGGCTGGAGTGCAATGGCGCGATCTCGGCTCACCGCAACCTCCGCCTCCTGGGTTCAGGCAATTCTCCTGCCTCAGCCTCCCGAGTAGCTGGGATTACAGGCACGTGCCACCATGCCCCACTAATTTTTGTATTTTTAGTAGAGACGGGGTTTCACCATGTTGACCAGGATGGTCTCGATCTCTTGACCTCATGATCCACCCGCCTCAGCCTCCCAAAGTGCTGGGATTACAGGCGTGAGCCACCGCGCCCAGCCCAAGATTTTTAATTTAAGATGATGATCTAAGGAGGAAGCAAGAAAGAAAAAGAATTAAATCGGCCATTGTCATGAAAGACTCCAGAAAACCTCACTTCACAGCCTCGTTCATTCTACAGATATGGCTTCTTGTTAATAATTTAACCTTAACAGTTCCCAACTGTGACACAGTTTAACAATCCACTTACAGTGGCTGTCAATTCTTCAAATAAGACGAAGTTAAATGGTCACCAATCGTTCAATATGGAAGCTAATGGCTCTCTGAAGTCCCATCTGATCTTTACAACATGACTATTTTGACATTCACTCATTTTAATAAGATTTTGGAACTCTCTGAAAACCTCTAGTGGCTCTTGTCCAGGGACAGAACCGTCTTTAGGTACCAAATTCTCAGAAGACTGCTTCATCTGCATTCATCCCCAGTGGGTCTTGAGTTTCCATGCCAGCCTTCCCAGGCTTTCAGATGTCATGAGTGTGGGGTACCACTGGAAGATTAAGAGCTGTGGAATGCAAGGACTCCCATATAAACTCTCCACAGGACTAGGCAATATAGAGATGTCTTCAACTGGCATTCATGTCCATGCAAAGACTATGCAAAGGTCAGAAGTTCCAGAGATGGCCATTATGTCAGCTGCATGGAAGAAAATGAGAAAACGGTTTGCTTTTCAGGTGGGAAAAAAGAATCCTGGCAAGCATCAGGAGAGATGGTAAGATCCTAGTGAGTAGGGCTGAGGTCCAGGGCAGAGCATGGTCCTTATATGAAACTTGAGACTGCATAAGAAACAAGCACAGCCCAGTCCTGTAGAATAGGGATCCACATTCCAGCTTAGGTCAAGGCTGCAGCATCATGAACTGCAACACCCAGGATTCACCCTAGGCCGCCGGAAATCTACAGCAACAAAATAATTTCCATGCCATATGACTGGTGGATCAGAGCTGCATGATACTCAGCCTCCTGAGTCAGCTTGGCTTAAGTTCTAGGCAGAGAGAGGTTTCACGTAGAAGAAACCAGTACCTGCACTAACGTGGGCTGGCGAGAGCAGGGGATGAAACAAAGAGTTCTCTTTATCTCAATAAGTCTGTGAAATAAATAACAGAGGTGGGCATGAGGCTTCTTATGTCCTAAGAGCAATGCCAGTGCTAACTTACAGATGCCCGTCTCTCAAACCATTCCATGACCCCTTTAAATGTACCATTAAGCCCATCTGTGAAATAAATAACAGAGGTGGGCATGAGGCTTCTTATGTCCTAAGAGCAATGCCATTGCTAACTTACAGATGCCCGTCTCTCAAACCATTCCATGGCCCCTTTAAATGTACCATTAAGCCCATCTGTGAAATAAATAACAGAGGTGGGCATGAGGCTTCTTATGTCCTAAGAGCAATGCCAGTGCTAACTTACAGATGCCCGTCTCTCAAACCATTCCATGGCCCCTTTAAATGTACCATTAAGCCAGTCTGTGAAATAAATAACAGAGGTGGGCATGAGGCTTCTTATGTCCTAAGAGCAATGCCATTGCTAACTTACAGATGCCCGTCTCTCAAACCATTCCATGGCCCCTTTAAATGTACCATTAAGCCAGTCTGTGAAATAAATAACAGTGGTGGGCATGAGGCTTCTTATGTCCTAAGAGCAATGCCTGTGCTAACTTACAGATGCCCGTCTCTCAAACCATTCCATGACCCCTTTAAATGTACCATTAAAGCCAGTCCAATGATCAACTGTTGTCTCACAACCACGGCTGGTTGTCATGGCAGACTGTCGTTTCCTGGATGCCCATGAACTTGAGTGCTATTCCTGGGGCTTGTCTGAACAACTGGAAACGAAGCATTTCAGTCCATACAGCATCCAAGGATCACCTCAAGAAAGTTTGATTCCTGGTTGCCATTTTCTAGAAGATCAAGAAAATGCATGTATCAAAACATGTGGAAAAGGTCTCAGTAGCCCTAAGAAAAATCCAAGAGACACGGTGAAGAACACTTATTTGAAAGCTCTTGAGAGCCCAAAGGGCAAACGTGAGTGGAAAAATATAGACATTGATGACCAAACTGAAAAGTATTCCGAAAAATCAGATTCTCTGTTTGAATAAGTTTTAGGAACTGAGAAATATCAGTACAATTCTTATCCCCACAACTGACTTCATGGACCCCCGCTATTGGCCAAGGGGACCCAGGAAACCTCAAAAACTGAATTCTCAGGGGGATAGGTGTTCAGACACACCTACTAATACCCCGTTCATCAATGGCCTAATGGCCATTAGGCCTTTTTCTCTGGGGCTAAACAAAACCAGTCCTCTGGAAATACTGCTCCAGCCTGATATTAACCAACTGCCTGATGCTTTCCCTCCCTTTTGCAGTTTCAACAAAACACCCAACCAGCATTTCTTCCTGATAAGAGATCGCGATTCATGGAGTGGCATCACCATTCTGGCCAGTCTTTGGAGACTGTAGCAAGGGTTTTCATGTCTTCCACTTCACGTTTTGACATCAGGCCAAAATCTCCACCTTTGAATCATGCTACCACCACCATTTGTTGAACAATGGTCCCCTAGAGAGTCATGAAGCTCAATTGTCCATGTGCATGTTTCTCCTTTCATAAATATTCATAGCTCCTCCTATAGCATATTCAATATGTATATTTGGCCACTCCATTCAGCATAAGTTGCTGCCTTCTTCCTCAAGTCTCCTTCCAGGATTCTGACCAGAGGCTACACTTCCCAGCCTGTCAGAATGACCACCCTGCAGGCTGCAATTCTCATGAGAAATAAAGCTCTCCTTTTTAAATGTATGAATCTTGTCTTTCTTCAGTTATCAGAATGCATTAACCAGTCTGTTTTGTATATATTTTCTATGGGATATACAACACTGATATGTTTTTAAAAACATGTATAAGTCTAAAAGAATCCTTTCAGTTTAAAAACTAAATGATAAAATGTGTAACATTGCTTAATTTCAAGAAATTTTTCTTTATTAGCAGTACATAAAATACAGTGACTTAAGATCAAATGCATTTGGATTTATTGAAATACACCAGCACTTATTCTCCCGGGTTGTATCATTTTATTTAATCCCATCAAGAACCATTTTTTACAACTGTCACCTCATTTTCCATGTCCCACCCAAACTGACCTTCCTGAGGTGACTCAAATGTGCTATGGCAGAGAATGCTCATCCTTGCTAGTGTCCCTGCTCTGCCTCTTACTCCAGAGCACAAGAGTGCATGGTAAATGCCAATCCTTTGTAATGTGTATGAGTTCTGAACAATGGCATATTTGTGGAATGAGATATGCTATCCTCAGGCCTACTCTCCAAAACCACTCATGCAATACAAGTACCCACTCTCTATGCCCTCTTTATACTGGACTTAAGATGATCCCCATCACAAATTTGGGACCCACTGGTAGAAGTAGAACTCTCCTCAACTTGGATCCCAAATAATTAAGTGGAGCAGAAGTCCCCATACTTAGAAACGCCCACTCGGCTCCTCTACAGACAAACAAAAGATAAACTTTAATTGCATGAAGCCACTGAGATCTGGTGCATTTTATGTTGTCATTGTGGTCAAAGCACTTATCTTATCCTGCCAAGCACATTCACACCTCCTGCTTTTGTACCTGTTAGATCTCATTCTCCAAGGCATTCATTGGCTCAATCTGTCACTTATATTTCAGAGAAAAACTCTGTTTTTCCTCTGCTCACAACAATTAACACAGAAGACTTCCATGACCAAATGTGTGGGGATTTCCTCCTACATGCCAGCACCAGCTGGGTGTCCTCTAATTCAATTCTGACACCATCTTCTTGGAGTTAGTGTCAGACCCAACCCCAACAGGTTGAGGGCTCAGTCCCCAAGACTGCTCCCCCAACTCTCAGACATCAGTCACGAGTCTGGCGTTCTGAAACTTTTGGCTGACCAGCTTCAAGTTGGGGTTCCCATGACTATCTCTTTGGGTTCGGTTAATTTAGTGGTGTGGCTCACAGAGCTCCGGGAAACACTTACTTGTGTTTACCAATCTGTAAGGCCATTACAAAGGATACAGATGAAGAGATGCATGGGGCAAGGTATGAGAGAAGGGGTGCAGAGCTTCCATGTCCTCCCTGGGTAAACCATCCTTCAGGAACCTTGAAGGGTTCAGTTATTGGGAAGCTCCTCAAACCCTGTCCTCTGGGCCTTTTATGGAGACTTGATTGGTTGTCCATGACTGAAGCATGGTCAACCATGTCAAGATGTGATTGGACAAAACATGTAAGATCTAAGCCCAGCAAGAGCTGTCTGTTCAGATTCTTCTTGGTCTTTCTGTGCAGCCATCTTTCCTCCAGAGTTTGGGGGAGGACCCTATCTGTAATGAGGGTCTTATGATTCACAGCGAGATTAGAGTCCTGCATCAGGGAGGTGAAAGGAGGACAAGAGAAGGTCAGGGAGAAAGGTTTTGTTTTCTGAGGCCTAAAGCACCCCAGCCTTGTAACAAAAGACTGTAACAAGCATGATGGGAGTTATGAACCAGGAACCATGGATAAAAAGAGAGAGAGAGACATTTAATAATTTATTCTAGTCAGTTATATCCTCCTGATTAAGGAAACAAGCTCACCACACCAGGATCCCCCTCAGCTTCCACTCCAGTGACCCCTGGACCAGTAGCATTCCTGATGAAATGAATACCCCTTTGAGACTTAGAATACCTACACAATGAACATTTCTACCTCCTTCTCTCCACCCACAAATGCATCGAGTTCTCCACAGTCTCCCAAAATGTCTCCCAGAAACCTATTAATAAATCATCTTCAAACAAGTGGACCAAAATCCTACCCCTCACAGAATTCCTAAAGGCAGGACTTAAAATTTAGTCTCTCTTTTCTCATGCAGAGAGAACAGTCGATGACTTTGTATACTGTATCACTGAGGTCCTCCTGTAGCTTTTATGTTTTCTTTTAGTATCGGTGCCAGGCCCAGATTTGGGAAGAGTCCTGACATCAGTAAGCATTCATTTTTGTGCCCTTCTTTAGCCCTTTCTGCACCAAAGATCAGATCTGGGTGCTTGACTTCCAGCTCACTAGCGCATGCACCAGTCTAACATCCCCAAAATTTGTTCCCGAGAAGACTAATTGTATGAGATGGTCCATTATAATTTTATGCTCAGAGAAGTTGGGAGAACCCTGCATCTTATACCCCCCTCGTGGATTTATACTGCATAAATACATTTTGGAGGCTTGAGAAACACATAGGTGTTTAACTTTATTTAAGCCAGAATTTCCCAAAATTCGTTGACTAACAAATGTTTTTTCTCTCTCTTAATGCCCATAGCTTCCCACTGAATTATTGTTCCTTGAAGATATTCTGAAAAATGTTGATCTTGGTTTTTATAATCCTAGCCACACACAATTTCCCAGTCACCCAAAGGCAATCATGGTAACAAGAACACAAAAAATTCCAATTTACGATTTAAAATAATTGACACCACTGACCAAACACCTGCATTTGCAGCTCTGGGGCTGTCGCAGTCCTGGGACTGCCCTTGCTCTGCCTTCTCCTGACCTTCTCCTCTGCTCTTTCAGCTCCCTCTGACCTGGTCCAGCAGTACTTGTCTCTTAAGAGCCATGTAATGATTCTGACCTGAATAGACCCAGCTATCTCAATTCTTTTTCTTTTCTCTGTATTTCAACCTTTCTCCCAGGCTATCTGCTCCAGGTTCTAAATGTTCTCTGCCATTTAAACAATTGCCTGGTGAACAATGATTAATTTGATGATGGAAGGAGTCAGGATGGCTCAAGGCCAGAAAAACAACCTCTTGTGGCTCTCTGGTCAACTCCAATTACCTCTGCTAATGAAAGAGAGAAGTGATTTTTAAAAATCCCAAACTATGAAGCTCTGAAGGTTCCAGCTGGAGAATGCTTTGGATTTTTTAAATCCAAAGGGGACCCCGCTTGTGGCCATTTCAGCCAAAGGGCCATTAGGCATTAAGAAATATAACTGACCTCAACAGCCTCATCCACTTAATCCCTGGGCCAATGGTTCCTATAAGAGAAAATGGCAAGGAGCATCAGGGAAAATGCCAACTGACTGATCCTCACAGGAAGTTCTGGGGACTTCTACATGTAGGTAAGGCCTCTATGGAATTCTTACATAAAACTTGGGTAGTGCTGCTGCACTGAGCAAGCTTCACCTCTGGAATAAGTGCCAGCTACTTGCCCCATGCCCTGTATTCTCTGGGAGATGGCAACTTGTACTGCATGAACCCAACTCTCCAAATTTTAGATCCTGGAAATAGATACAGCTATTTTTTGAAAGAAAGAGGAAAAAAAGCCCACACAAGTCCTAGGAGTAGGTTTTATTTTGCTGCTGGTTCTATTTTCATCCATTTTTGAGGGTCAATGTGCATTCTTAACTACTTTAAGGGTTTATAAATTGGCTGTTTTGGGGGATGGCTGAGTCACATTTTATGACAGCTTAGAAAATGCTGTGGATTTCATACCCTTCAGAAGACACCCTTAGGCTGGAGTTAACAACTTAGACTTGAAGCTAGTTAGACATGGAGTAAGGTCAGGTCACAGTGCTTAGTAACCTCAGAAAGCTTCCCGTGGATAACAAAATGGTATGGACGAAGGTAACTGGGGGCAAGCAAGGCAAGAGTGAAGAAAGCAGAAATAGTGGATTAAAATAATAATCACAACAGTAACATAAGACAGCAATTTGGGGCATGTATAATTTTTAAAAGGCTAATTCACAGAACTCATACATCTATGGAAATGGTTAACAAATGAGAGGAAGTATGAAAGAGAACCATTGTAAAACATGCCTCTTTCCTTATTGAGCACAGTCCCCTGAAACAAATGGAGCAAAAGAGTTAACAAAAACTCGGCATAATTCTCTTTGAACGTGTTTCTGTGACTTGTC